CCCACCTCTTTGAAGCTCCGGTCTCTTTATCCACAGCGACTCTTGCAGTGAGGGCTCCTTCAAAGGCACTTTGCAGAGTCTCTGCAGTCGTCTTCTCAGAAAGCTTCTTTATTATCAGTGTTTTTGAATCCACTAAACAGAGAACAAAACACAACTGTTGTATCACCATTATCATAACTCACAGCCCTGCTCAGACCTGGTATTAACATGCATCTTGAGTGATCCAATCACAAGTGGTCAGCACAAACTACAGGACCGAACGCACCCAAATGCATCTGGAGATCTGATCACTTAGACTAAACTGGGAGCTGGTCTCGAACACATGTTTATTTTCACTGTGTGAACGAACACCCACCCACACCCACACACACACACACACACACACTCAGCTGACGTACTCTGACCCACTCAAGTTTCACAAGGAATCAAACATATTTTTACACTTCTGTCTCAATCCATTGATTTGAGGCTACTGTCACAATATAAAAACTGATCACAATGATTTATGCTTTTCTTAAATTACTCAAATCTGACCTCACATCAGCACAAGATTCATTCAATCCCTCCTGACTCCTTTCTAGCTAGCTTGCTCATGCAGACACACACGACTCATCTGTAAACTCTGACTGGCTAAAAACAACATCATTTGATCTTTGTGAACACAAATGATATACATGTTTATTTGTATAGAGAGGAGGGAAGTGACATCCAATAACACGGGGTCACAGGAGACACATTCAGGACTCAATTTAATGCCAGGTTCACTTGTGATCAGCTCTATCAGGACAGATGTTAATACCAGGTCTGAAGAGAACCAAAACTTTAGAAACACTTGATTGTTGCCATTATTAATTATCAATTTGACCTGATCGAGGAGCTTTATCTCCTATATCTAGCACTTTGTAAGTCATGCATCAGTTTTTAAACTAACAGCACAGCCGTCAGGAAGCAAAACTGTCCAAAGACACTTCTGCAAGCAGAGGGGACGAGCTGGGGATCAAACCACTGACTATCTAAATAATGGACAACCCACTCTACCTCCCCAGTCACAGCCATTGAATGTGCCTCATAAAACTTTTTTTGCCTGCTCAGGGAACTAGGAGTCTTTTTGTATAACCCTGGCATATTTTCATAAATGTTTTTAATATGGACTCTCCTACTGTACTAAAAGAAGAGAAAATAATATATAATTTCAAAAATACCCACAAAGAATATTTTTGAATCCAGTAAAAGTGAGGAGCTTTCTCAACTAAGTCTAGTCCGACATGACATGGTGGATCCAGCAGATTATGTGTTGTGTGAAGGGTTAGCTAAATTTAATTTATTAAAGCTGCATAGATGTATGCAGCTGTAAACCTACACTGTAGTTAAATGTATCATTTACTGCCATCTCCTTGATGAACCAGTTACCTCCTCTGCTGCTGCTTCCATCTCTGCTGGCCCCCCGACCTGCAGGCTGACCACCTTCTTTGGTGCCTTTCTTTTCCTGTTGTTTAGCGTAGGCCACAGTCACTTTGCTGCCATCGATCTCACAGTC